TAACATGTTCATCTTCCACTTACTTTAAGCCTTTTATTAATGAAGTGTTTAAAAGGTTTGATTTCCACAGCTAAAAAGCAGAGCACATCCTCAAATCTCACACACTTTTATTCTCCAGAAATGAGATGACACTATCACCTCCCCCTCCTTTTACCCGTGCCACTTCTTTCTTCCTGAGCCTAAAACATGCAACTGATGCCCAGGAGAGCTCACTACTTACTACATCCCCAGAGGTGGGGCTGTTACATCCCAATTGCAGACACTGCATCCCAGCACCATCCATAGCTGCCTGCCCCAAACCTGTGGTACCAGTGCCATTATCACCCAGCCCCACACGATCCCTGAAACTTGTATCCTATCTACCATGGCCTCAAAGAGCTCTTGCTTTATTGGTAGAGTTTCTCTACCTGCCAGCCTGCTCCACTCCATGGTTCCTTCTCTCTCCCCCAGCCCCTTCCCCTCACCCCTCATTTCAGAAGGCAATTAGCAAAAGAGGCATAATGTTTGACAAGAGATATGTCATGACAATTCACAGATGCTGAGTCTCTTGTTCTGATGGCATTTTATCTGGCTTCTTTAGCTTACTGTTTTTTATAAGTTAAAACATAGTTTCAGCTTCTGTGTTATAATAAGCCTTGTGAATACGGTTCATCCAATTTTAGTAAATGACCACTTCAGCCAATGAGAGAATTTGGAGAAATTATCTAAGAAACTGTCTGAAACAAATCAAGCATTCAAATACCTTTGTTTTAAACATTTGAGCATCACCAAGAAGGAAACGTTTGCATGCATAATCCTACCTTTCAATCACTATTTCCATCCTAGTTCCCAAAACTGCTAATTAATGCATATGCACACAGGCTCTTTTTGCTGTACAAACTATCTTCTTAGTCATCAAAAGCCAAAGTCATCTGTTTTGATGTCAGATTTATTACTGTGGCAACAGAATGTGATGTTACAGATGATACTGTGACATCACTTTGTACAAATAGGATATCTTGACTATGAAGGGAAGAAGGGTTTTGATATATTCAACTACAAAACACCTTAAGCAGTGTCAGTGATCTAATTAAACCTACATACAGGACATTCAAATATAAGATTAAAATTCTATGTTTAATTGTTAGGCAAAAATTAGTGAGATTAAGTCTCTTGAATTAATATAACTGTTCATACAGGCTTCAGAGAAAAAAGGAATTATTATAAAGATATTTTATCACCACTATTAATGTCTTAGAGAATGTTTTATTGTTATGTTGTGACATTTCTCATCCTCAAGTATCCCATTTCTACTTTCCTCACCTTGTTGGTGTAATTTTTACTTATTTTCTTAAATTATTAACAATTGTCAATTTTCTTTTGTCTGTAGTCCTTCAAAGCATTTTAGGATTGAAATGAGCTTGGATGCTGTGGTAAAAGAAGTGTGAAGGGCCAATGCACTATAGGGATTGAAGTAGGTTCTATTAAAAACATTCTTTCCCCTTTTTTCCTCCTTTAACCATTTAACAGATTGCTTATGCTAAACCACCTGTTCCGCCTTGCATTTTGCTGTGATGCCCTGAGTTCCTTTCTCAGACCTGAAGAAGAGCTGTGTGTGGCTCAAAAGCTTGTCTTTCTCTCATCAACAGAAGTTGGTCCAATAACAGATATTACCTCATACACTTTGTCTCTCTAAAGAGTCTGGTGGCAGATGGTTGTAGAAATATTCAGAGCCCTTGGAGGGGACTTGATAGTGCCTGTCTGCCTTCTTAGAGGTGGGCGCCTTGGAGGCAGGGGTTTGCCAAAGGTCTTTGGCTGGTTCCAACCAGCTTTCATTTACTGGCATTGCCATTCCACCAGGGACCTATAAGTGCAGAATGTTGAGAAGTTGTGAGACTAGTCTTGCAGCACTTCAATCAGAATTTCCAGGGCATTGACTATTCTCCTGAGAAGTTCCATTGTCAAGCTGGGTTGGAAAGACACGATCATTCTCAGGACAGGTTGGAGGTCTGCCTCCTTCAAGTTCTCCTGCTCTCTCTCTGGACTGGACACAAGATGCCTTCTAGATGAGATAACCTTCCAGAGGTCTGTGAGGGAAAGGTGATCTTGCTATGGATGCCTGAGGAAAAGAGAGTTATTAACCTTCCATTAAAAACGATTACTCACCTTTTGTAACTTGTTCTTCGAGATGTTGCTCATATCTATTCCAGTTAGGTGTGCACATGCACTGTGTGCACGGCTGTCGGAAACTTCCCTAGCAGCTCCCCGTCGGGCCGGCTGTGGAGCCCCCTGGAGTGGTGCCGGTATGGTGCTCTATATATGACCCTGCTGGCCCGACGCCCCCTTCAGTTCCTTCTTATCGCCAGTGACAGTTGTTGGAAAAGTGGTCGTCTCCTTGCAAGTGTCCCACTAATCTCTAGCTCTTCTGTTACTCTCTGTAAATAGTTCCCTTTATTCATTAATAGTTCACAGTTCTTAGTTGTTATAGTCTCACTACTTAGCAGGTTGGGGGGTTCCCCCTCCAATACACACCCTTACTGGCCTCGGGGCATGATGTCCCAGGGCTTCAAACCCTGTAGTTCCTGCACTAAGCCTATGCCCATGGGCAACCCCCATGACTCCTGCCTCCAGTGTCTGGGAGACACTCATCACTGGGACAAGTGTAAGTTCTGCAAGGCTTTCAAGCCTCGCACCAGGGCAGATGGAAGGTCTGCAGCCCCCCACAGCTGCAAAGGCAGCTCTGACCATGACCTGGCTACAGCTCTTCAGCCAGGGCCGGCTCTGGCTTTTTTGCCCCCCCCCAGCCGGAGCCGGAGGGGGGCAGCCGGAGCCCCGGCGGGGGCTCCGCTCTCCCCCCCAGCGGCCGGAGGGGAGGGCGGCAAGCCCCGGCGGGGGCTCGGCTCTCCCCCCGGCGGCCAGGCGGCGAGAGGGCTGTGAGCCCCAGCGGGGGCTTGGCTCTCCCCCCCCCGGGCGGCCAGAGTGCCGGGGGCAGGGCGGCGAGCCCCGGCGGGGGCTCGGCTCTCCCCCGCCCCCCAGCGGCCAGAGCGCCAGGGGCAGGGCGGCGAGCCCCGGCGGGGGCTCGGCTCTCCCCCCGGCGGCCAGAGTGCTGGGCCACCCCCCTCCAGGTGCCGCCCCAAGCACCAGCTTGGGTGCCTGGTGCCGGCCCTGTCTTCAGCCTCCTGAGGTGCTGCCCCCAGGCCAGGATGGAAACTGGAGTTGGGTTGGGGTAAGCCATGTGGGCAGCTGCAGACCCTCCACCTGCCCTGGGTCGGAGGCCAGAGGAGCAGGGACACAGGCTGGGGGCTGCTCTTGGGTCCCTCCACCCCAGGCCAGTGGAGGGGTCTGGGGTCCCTGGCCCAGCTATGTTTTCCAGCTTGCCCAGAGGGTGGTGTACCAGGAGAAGAGTGGCAGGGGTTGGGCTACCAAGGGGGCATGGCTTCATAACCCCCCCGCCGCACGCACACACACTTTCAGGTAGAATCCATCACCCATGGGCAGTGTGTGACGTTTCCCTTTGGGGAGTCTAGGCCCCTGCCCCTCTTCTTCTGGCCAAGGCCATGCCCCTGCTCCTTGCTTTCAGCCCCTCCCACCCCAGATCTGGGGTCATTGGGCAGGGACCACAGCACAAGTCTCCACGCTGGCTGGAGCTCTGAGTCCCAAGCCCCTCCCTGTGGCCCCATCCCTGTTCTGCCCATGGCCCCCATCCTCCTCTTCCCTCCCTGAGACCCCACCCCCTGCTTGCTCCTTTTGCCCCTCTCCCTGAGTGTGGCTCCAAGACTGGAAAACCTCTGTGCCCTGGGGGCTGTGGCAGGGAGGGAGAGTTCCTCCAGCAGAGGGAGATTTTCCAGGAGTCCCACATCTGCCCCTGTCCATCCCATTCCCCCCTCCTCCAACCTTTATTATGCACCACCCATGCTGTCACTCCTGCCCTGGACCCTCGGGACATGCTGCCCAGGGCAGGTGGAGGGTCTAGGGCTTGCCCCAGCAGCCTGGGCTCCCTGGATGGCTCTTACCATAGCCCAGTTCTGGCTTCTGGCCTGGCTAGGGCCTGAGGGGGAGAGGAGTGGGGGTGGGGCTTCATGGCAAGCAGGGGGATATGGCCCACCTCAGCCCCACCCACCAAGAAGAGGCTAGCACCACTGGCAAGGACTGCACTTTGTGGTAGGGGAGCGGATCACCTTGGGCCCATGAAGCCATGGTGGTTGGAGTGTTGTCATGACTCTTCCCTTGCAGCTTCTAGACTGTGGAGAGCAGGACTAGAAAAAAGGGTTCTGGGTACCAACTACCTCAGCTGGAGAGTTGAAATTAAGACTTGAAGAGGGGAAGGTAGGGAACCGACCATGCATAAGACACCTCTAAATCATGCAGAGGTGAAGAAAATCATTCTACACAATGAACTTGAGTGCAGCCCCCCAGATACACAGTAACAGATACTAGAATAAACTGCTGGCTTTCAATTATGGCTCACTTGTCTCCTGAGAATCAATCAGTATGACTGCCACACTTGTTAGTAAAATAACTTTGCATTCCCTCACAAATAAGATTAATTCATAACACTTTTATTCCTAGACAGCTCTAAGGTTGAACTGTACATGCAGAGTTGCATAAATCACAAGAGATTTACAGTGGATTCTATTCTATGGTAGAGTGCAATCCAAAATCCTTTTACAGTATAAAAAGACAAATTTTAACATCAAGACTCTGAAACATAGGAGCATGGGGGTTAAAGCTTCCCCAAATATTTCAGCTCTTCTAGATACCTAGTTACTAGGTACCGTATGCCAGACATGTTTAGTGAGTGAGGAGCTGTATAACAGATTACAACTTTTAAACATCCAGATAGCATAACATTAAGTTACTTTTCCCATATTTCTGGCAATAAAGAATAAGCTGAAACCCCTGCCATCTGCAACCAGCTCTTATAGACAAAATAATCACTCCCTTGCCTGTCTAGGGTGTTACAGTGTTAATGCACCAAGAAAAACACATTCCCTTCGTATATCACAATAGGAAAAAAAAAAAAAAAAGTAACAAAAATAAGTATAACATCTTTGAAAATAAATATAAAGAGGGAATGCAGATCATGTCAAATTTTTTGGCAGGTAACATTCATAATATACAAAATATAACTTATTCAAATTAGCCAAGGAAACAGCCACAAGTTTCTGTAAGCTAGCTGGCTATTTCAGTCCACTTCCTCCATACGTGAAGTGTCATCATCGCCTTCAAGTGGTGGCATCTCCTCAGCAACCGCTGGACTAGTTTCTTCTGTAACAGCATCATCTTCATCAATGCCTGTACAAAAAACACAATTGTACAATGAATATATTTCCAGATGGTCTTAATCTCTAATACTAGAGTTCAGGACAGAAACAATTTCTATGTCCTTCATATCATAGGCAGGAGTGATTACTCAACTGCACCCTCAGTTATTTGGACAAGAGGAAATGTTGATCTACAACCATTAAATTCCTCCCAAGGACAATACATATACATGAACTAGGATTATAAATTGAACAGGCTTACTTACCAAGACCAAGTTTGATCATTCTATAAATACGGTTAGCATGTGTCTGGGGATCCTCCAAACTGAAACCAGAGGACAGGAGCGCGGTTTCATACAACAAAATAACCAGATCCTTCACTGACTTGTCATTCTTGTCGGCCTCTGCTTTCTGCCTTAGTGTTTCAATGATGGAATGGTCAGGATTTATCTCAAGGTGTTTCTTTGCTGCCATGTAGCCCATTGTGGAGTTGTCTCTCAGTGCTTGTGCTTTCATTATCCTCTCCATATTTGCAGTCCAGCCATATGTACTTGTTACAATGCAGCATGGAGAAGTCACCAAACGGTTGGAGACCACAACCTGTTGAGTGGAAGCATTAGCGGTTACCACAAAGTTGGTTTCTGTATGGTTTAAGATACTAGATATTGCTGAACTGCAGCAATTGTTCTAGAGTACCTGCATAAGCCAGGTGACAAAATACAGAGAAGCTATGATGCAATCAACATTTGTATATCCACATCATAAAGTGGAATTTGAGGATACTTTGACTATTAAAAGTCCAATGGACAGTCTAGTAACTGACTAATCTTGTTTCACTCTGATTGGAAACCAAAGCATCTCCCACCACTTGACAGACAAACTGGATTATAAAACTAGATGTTCCAACCCTACTTTTTTTGGTGGGGGAGAGAAAGTAGTAACCACTGTACAGACAGACTATATGATAGTTACTACTGTTGGATACAAGAAAAAAAATTGACTTTAGTGTTTGAGCCATACCTTAATCTTTTTTTTTTTTTTGCATCTAAAGAGGTAAGGGGCACACAGATTGCCTGATTGTTCTATAGCAGGGGTCGGCAACCTTTCAGAAGTGGTGTGCTGAGTCTTCATTTATTCACTCTAATTTAAGGTTTCGCGAGCCAGTAATACATTTTAATGTTTTTAGAAGGTCTCTTTCTATAAGTCTAATATATAACTAAACTATTGTTGTATGTAAAGTAAATAAGGTTTTTAAAATGTTTAAGAAGCTTCATTTAAAAATAAATTAAAAATGCAGAGCCCCCCGGACCAGTGACCAGGACCCGGGCAGTGTGAGTGCCACTGAAAATCAGCTCGCATGTGGCCTTCGGCACACATGCCATAGGTTGCCTACCCAGTTCTATAGTTTATTTTTTAAAAAACCCCTAGCTAGTAATTTTAGTACGAGACACTGAGTATTAAATACTTTTTGCCAAGCAACACCAAGTAGAACAGTTTATTTTATTTCATTCTTCACCTTGCCTTAAAACACACACTTAACCCTGAGAAGTGAGAAACTGTTCCATATGAGACAGGAATTATAAACTAGCAATACTTGTGGTGCTAGAGCTCTTAAATGCTAGGAACATGGCTGATTAAAGGCTGTCTCATTAACAGCTAGACCATTGCTCCCAGTAGCCTGTAAGAGCTTACTAATCAGAAGAGTGATGTAACAGTAGGGTTAAGACTGCCTACAAACAGTGAGATGTTCATACCTTTTCCACTTTCTTTTCAAGTATGTCTTTCATGATTTTGCAGAGGTTTTCAAACTTTGCCTTCTTCTCCTCCTGTTTCTTTTTCTCCTCTTCATCCTCTGGAAGCTCCAAACCCTCCTTTGTTACAGAAACTAAGGTCTTGCCTTCAAATTCCTTTAACTGCTGCACGCAGTACTCGTCAATAGGTTCAATCATGTAAATTACCTCCAGACCATGTTTGCGAAGGCGTTCCACAAAAGCAGAGTTTGCTACCTGATCTTTGGTTTCACCTGAAAGAAGAATTCCATTTTTCAACTTAAGCCACAACTACTTGACTACAGTAGATGACTATAGAAACTGTACCTTCTCTAGGTATCTGAGATTCTCATTTAAGTAAGCTTGAGTTGTCCCAGAAGAGCAACGGAGCAGCAAACAGCCAGGTTGTTCTGGACAGACTACTGGAAATGGAAGACTGTCTAAAATGCTAACCTTGTTTTGGTGCTTGTTAAAAGGGGCCTTGCAACTTCAGCCTAAGGTGCCCAGAGTAGCTTGTGAAGTGCACTACACTGAGCCACCCTGAGGCCAGCTGTCTGAGGGACTGCTTAGAAAAGTGGAGTCTCCCTTCCCATGTGTCAGATACAACCCTGAAAGGACACTGGCTTTCCTATTTGTCCTCTGCAAAGAGGCTTGCACCTGCTCCCTCAACAGGTTCAGGCTTATCCTTGAGCAGCACTGAACCTAGTCATGAAATCCAGAATCTTGAAGCCATTTGCCTAAGGCCACTTGATTTTGATGCTAAGCCACATATACCCTTTTAAATAAACTTCTTAAAATCTGGGTGTTTATCAGGATGAAAGATAAGCTACACCTGGTCCCTTAATCATGAAGGCCTAGCAATCCATGGCTGAAGGACAGCAGCTGCAGATTGGCAATACCTACTCCAGAAGAGATCACAGCTCATGAATTTAGCATGTTGTACTTTTAGTCTCCAATTTCTCAGACAGACATTCTCAAACACTAGGTGAAGTACCTCAGGAACGATAAGAAGCCAATTTAAGTGTGTTGAGTTGAAGTTTGAGACTATCACAAGAAACTTCTACTTTATTGTCACTGTCGTCCCCCGCCAATGGGGGGGAAAGAGTGTAAATTCAAAGATAAGGAATAGCCAAAAAATGGAGACTGTTTCTGTTATTTCAGAGGCTCCCTAGCAGTTGCATTCCTGACTGGAATGTTTGCAAGGTATAAATTGGGACCATATGAACACCACTAGAAACCTTATTTGTGCCCAGGGCTGCTTCTCTCAAAACACAGCTACATGATTCCTTGACATGAGACTGGGAACAAAGACCCACAGATGTCTCAACTCAGTATGAAAAATACTCAAGCATGACATTTAGAACATGGATGCTTGTCATTAAGATTCCATCAGATGCTCAGAAGAGAAATATTCACCATGTAGCTTGCCTCCTTGTGCATTTTCCAACATGCACGGATATTGTTGTGTGGAGTTCACCTGCATATACCTACTAAGGGCTTAAATGCAATAACCTTACTTCAGACAGGGTATGTCTGTCTGTCTAAATAAATACATACTTCTAAGAAGGTAGTTTTAAGTTAGAGAGAGACACTTATGAAATGCCACACGTTTTTGTATTGCTGACTCGCTTGTTCAATTATAAACTAATCCCAACATGCAGTGGTATTGTGACAGCATGTGGTATGATATCCTATGGAGCAAGAACTGCCAATCCACAGCAAGACTATTTAAAAGACAGATAGGACAAGTTGGAAGCTATGTACTACCTATGGCACAAGTTCCGGTGCCTGCCTAAGAGTCATTAGATAGCAAGCAAAGGTCTAGTACATTCAGAAGCTTTTAAAAGCCAAAACTGAAAGTAATTGCAGTTGAGTTACCTGTAATGTAATATATGTGTTTCTGGTTTTCCTTCATCCGAGTACAATAGTCTTTCAAAGAGACCATCTCATCACCAGATGCAGAAGTGTAGTATCTCAACAATTCTGAGAGTTTCTTTCGGTTTTGGGAATCTTCATGTATGCCAAGCTGGGGGAAAAATAAATATATATTTTAAAAAAAAAAACACCTTTTCAAACTACATGCTCATATTGTGCAAGTGCCAATAATAAAAAACAGATAATATAAATCATTTGATAGAGGCCACCATGCAAAAGAGAGAGAAGTTCTTGCTAAAATACTAAAGGGTCACTAACCTTAATATTTTTAGAGAACTGCTCATAAAATTTCTTGTAGTTCTCCTTGTCTTCTGCTAATTCAGTGAAGAGTTCCAAGCATTTCTTGACCAAGTTCTTTCTTATCACTTTCAGAATCTTGCTCTGCTGCAGCATTTCACGGGAAATATTTAGAGGCAGATCTTCAGAGTCCACCACTCCCCGCATGAAGTCTGTAAGAAAGTATGTGTGTCAAATCTTGCAAACTAAGAGAAAGATCTTTACAATGAAATTAATAATCTTAATAAATTAGATATGCTCCAAATATATAGTCTAGGACTTGTTTTTTTAGAGAGTTCCTTTTCTCCAAAACCTTAAAGAATCAGATAGATAATCAACCCTCTTCATTGTTCTGTCTTACTCTTCCACATTCACATCTTAAAGAAAAAGAATCTCATTTTGGTCACTATTTATGGTCTCACAAAAGATGTTTCTATTAGAAAGCCTTTTGTTCACCGGTATACATGACAGGAGTTCAGAGGAATGTTACTTCTCAAACAAGGGCCTACTTACTCAGATATTCAGGAATTAGCTCCTCACAGTTATCCATGATGAAGACTCTGCGTACATACAATTTAATGTTATTTTTTTTCTTTCTGTTCTCAAACAAATCAAAGGGTGCACGTCTTGGGACAAATAGAAGAGCTCTGAATTCCAGCTGCCCTTCCACAGAAAAGTGCTGCAAGAAAGTAAGACATGGTTTAAGAATTTTTAAAGTTAGCTTGATGCATTTTACACTATTTGGAAGACATTCATGGCCACTTCACTGAGCTGGGGCTATGACGTCCAAGAGACATTCTTGACATCTTCACTAATAAAATGTCATTGCTCTCTTAATCAAGGTATACCCCTAGTCTCCACCAGTATGTAGGTCTTAGTGGAAGGGATGTTCTCCGAATACTGTAGAATTAGAGGTCTACAGGAGGTTCCCATTCTCTTTAGGCAGGGCTCCTGTGGTGCCATAAGAGCCTACCATCCATTATTTAGTTTGTTTCGCATGTATTCACCTTGATTGTCAAAGGCGATTCCTAACTGTAGAAAAACTTTACCAATCAGCGCCTGAGATAAATGCTGCTGCCTACATTATGTTTAAGAACTTAACTTGGTTTTACAAGGCCTATACTTTCTACTTTGTTTCAGATGTGCACAAATCAAGTGATATAACTTAGTATTTTCTAACTTTAGGATATTCAGTTACACTGAGTGCTACAGCAGTTTTAGTAGGCATATACTGCAGCTTTCATCACCCTCAGCCAAGCAGAAAGGTCTCTTCAAGTACTTAGGTATCTTTTTATTAAAAAAAAAGGAACCTAGACAATACCCAAACCACACAACTGAGGTAGGATCCACTGGGCTTTTAGCCATTTCGATTTCAGAGACAAGTCCTACTTACTTTCACTGCTAAGTGGTCTTCCCAATCATTGGTCAGGCTTTTATAGAATTCTCCATATTCCTCATTTGTAATATCATCTGGATTCCGGGTCCAGATTGGCTTGGTTTTGTTGAGCTCCTCCTGGTCAATGTATTTCTCCTTAATCTTCTTTTTCTTCTTCTTGTCCCCATCTTTCTTTTCTTCCTCCTCATCAGAGCCAACATCCTCAATCTCTGGTTTGTCTTCTGTCTTTTCTTCTTTTTCCTCTTTCTCTTCTTCCTTTTCCTCTGCCTCATCGTCACTTACTTCCTTATCCCGTTCTTTTTCCACCTAAAAAGATTAGAAATTTAAATGGAAGATGGACATCACAGCATGTTATACATGAGTTAGAAGCCCTGATAATAATCTTTCCATGCATGCCCATGTCCTCAACCGTTTTGGGGGTTGATTGTCACAGCAATCTTGGATACCCTATACACACATATACACGCACACGGCAGCCACCAAGTTCTCCCCCTTGCTCTTCCTAACCTCTAATTAAAGGTTTAGTGTAGAAATGCGATAAAAAAAAACAAAGGGGGAGACAATTTTAACTATTGCACTTGGTTTTCTGTTACCTAGCACCCCAATGTTTAAGCATAAGAGAATAAATCAAAAAGTAGTAGCACAGCACAATCCTGAATAGCTAGACATGGTTTGCGGGGGGAGGAGGGGGAAACAAGTTTATTTGGTGAAAGCCTTGTTAAAAAAGGCAGAAGAAGAAATATTTATCAAGTCATTTAAGACACTTTAAGGATGCTCTGTAAGGAGGGCTTCTGATTTTTAGTTTCAACTGATGAACAGCAACAAAACAGCTCTGATCAATCCAGATTTCATTTTTCTTGTATCCAATAAAGATCAGAAAAACATCAGAACTGGTTACTTGTCTCTAAGGGGCTGTCTACACAGAGCACTAAATACAGACTACAAGGGTGTCATTTCTAAATCACACTAATGAGTTGCATGTTAATTGTTCCATGTAAACCCTGCTGGTGCACACTAAAGGTTTGAAACATGTTAAAGTGCAGCAGGGAACATTAAAGAGATTAATTTGTTACAGTATAGACCAAGAGAAGGCCCTGAAAAAACCCTAGTCTTTGGACATCTACACAACTCAAATTGCTAAAAATAAACCCCAAAACAAAGTTAAACCCCAAACAGAAAACGTCTGTATATGAATCTAAAGTTTACTGAAACCATTAGGTTTAACAGTACATCTTTAATGATGTACTGTGTTATGTCACTCAGTGCCCATCACGTTTAAGTTATATATCTTTTACTCTATTCTGTGACTCCATGTATGAAGAGAACCAGGTCTGACAGCACTGTTGATTGGCAAGAGTCCCCAACAGCAAGTGAGGAAAAAACAAAAAAGATACTTATTCAGATTCTTAGACAAATGTTATCTATACACACTACACATTAGTATATTAATGATTTTTAATCTGGTGTATCACTTTAGAATAAAAATTTTGTACTGTTGAGATACTATGGCTAAACCTTCTATTGTACCACTAAACATTATAATGTGGTCGTTTTATGAAGTGATTAAATTTTACTAGTTTAATTTACTGTTAGCATTCCAACCTGAACACTTACAAAGAGTGTAATTGGATAACCAATGAACTGTGAGTGCTTCTTCACAATTTCCTTGATTCGTCTTTCCTCCAAGTACTCGGTCTGGTCTTCCTTAAGATGCAGAATAACCTTTGTACCCCGGCCCAGAGGTTCCCCTAGAATAAAGATTTGAGAACTTTACTGCAAGCACCAGTAAAAGTGTGTTTAGCAAGGTGCTAGTCAGGTTTTTTCCATCTGGATCAGAAGATTCTAATTAAGCACCTTATGCTTAAATTTATCCACATTATTTATGTCCCCAATTTATTTGCGGGGGGACACAGGTTTACTGTACACCCACATCTACATAGTATTTTTATACTTACTTCCTTGTGTCAGGTAGGTCACCTGCACTCATGCTTTTACAATAATGTATTAGCCCTCCTTTGGATCACATGATCTTTAATACAAGATATGCACCCTACCTACAATCCCTGCAGCATACAAACAGCTCCCAGCTCCCTTTGTAGTTGAGCTATCCTCTGAAATAGAAGTTTCTTATCTGAACCGCTACCTCACATTCTTATCCTTTTTACAAAAGAAATGCAGGACCACTGCTGCACTACTATTTTAATTTACTTACAATTGTGAATCAATTTTGCAGCAGAGGTTAAGAAACACTACCCCTGAAGAGCAGTTGTTTTAACTGCAGTTTAGTCTAACATGATACCGTATGCTACTGCTGTTCCATCTTCAAAACCCTTCCATAATACGGGGAAACACATGAATATGGGGATGCTTTAGAGCTACCTGTGCAACAGAATGTTAGCACTTACCATTATCAAGTCTTACAGTGAATGATCCTCCAGCAGAAGACTCCCAAGCATACTGCTCATCATCATTGTGCTTGGTGATCACGGTTACTTTCTCAGCAACCAAGTAGGCAGAGTAGAAGCCAACACCAAACTGACCAATCATAGAAATATCGGCACCTGCTTGCAATGCCTCCATGAAGGCTTTGGTGCCAGATTTGGCAATAGTACCCAGGTTGTTAACCAGATCAGCTTTGGTCATCCCTATGCCAGTATCCACAATGGTCAGGGTGCGATCATGCTTGTTGGGAAGGATGTTAATTTTCAGATCTTTTCCAGAATCTAGTTTGCTTGGATCAGTCAAACTCTCATATCTGATTTTATCCAGAGCCTACAAAACAAGAGGCAACTATCAGACCCCTCAACACACTACTTGCATTTAGGTGGCAATGTCACTGGCTGCTAGTCACTTAATTATTTCCATTACTTACATCTGATGAATTAGAAATCAGCTCTCTCAGGAAGATCTCCTTGTTAGAATAGAAAGTGTTGATGATCAGAGACATCAACTGAGCTATTTCAGCCTGGAAGGCAAAGGTCTCCACCTCCTCCTCCATTGGTTGGTCTTGAGTCTGCACAGCTTCTGGCATCTGTAGAAATAAGTGAAGTTGTAGCTCTAAACGACAGCTCTGTAGAATGGCTCTTAAAACAATTACATAGTATTCTTCACCTGTTTTATGTTCAACCACTAAGACTTCTTTTAACAAGTACCACCACTTTGGGATAGAAGGGTTGTTGAGAGCATGGCTTATCATATATCAGACTAAGTAAGAGAACCCCAATTGGTATTCTCTTCCTGCTAGCAGTGAAGAGCACTCCAACTCTAATTCTTATACCCCTTATCTGGAAAGACCTGGCAGTGATGGATGAGCACAACTCTCTGCTCCTCAGGAGGACAAAGGTTTAAGTACCTCAGCAGCAATTTGCCCATTCCTTAAAAGTGCACGATAGGCAGTAAGGCCAATATTGTGAATCCTTCAGGATTCTTCATCCTCAGAGTTGCAGGAGCCATTTAGAAAAGGAGAAGAAAGTGAAACTGTGTTGAATACTTGAATTGGCTTCTAGATGTTCTGCCTTGTTTGTCTAAAAATATGTACTTTTACACAAGTCAAAAAATCTACATTAGTTTCCAGAGCATCTAGGGACTATCATTCCCTCCAATCAAGGACTGAATACTGTACACAGTTAACATTATAGTCTAAACCAAAATTCCAACAATTAAGTTTAGCCTTATACAACATATGGGACTAGAAAATGATTTGCAAAACATACCTACACATATACCCTTAAGTTCAACCCACAGTAAGTTCAACTCACAATCGGAGTATTGTTTCCAGCAGTCATCTAATTTTTTTTTTCCTGAGTGATTAGTCACAAATTGGGAGCTCTCACCTCAAGGCTGCAGAGCAGCATAGCTCATACAACCCAAAGGTGTATATGTGCAACTGCATTCACTGTTTAACAGACAATGTGGCATTTTGTTGCTCATACCCCTCACCCAGGCAATGGTACTATACTTCAGTTCTAAGAAGAGATAAATTTGGTATAATCCATTTATTACTTCTTAGCTGCAAAAGAACAGGTTTCGCCAGTCTGGGGAGCCCAGTGCCAGAGTCATATCCCTGTTTTAACTGCTACAGTACCGGCTTAAACCAAATCCACGTAAAGCTCTGAGGGAGACCTCCCTAGCAATGTGCTTCTCCAGAGCAGTAGCGCTGTAAGATACACCACAAATATCCACGGAGAACCGGGTCAAGTTCAGATTCCAACTCCCCCCGCGGTGGGTACTCGGTATACTTTACAGCAGGCAGAGCTGGAAACTCTCCCAAGAAATGGGGGCACGGCGCCCCCTACAGCCTCCGGCCAGGAACAGATTCTAGAAACTGCCAGAGCCTTCTCTCCTACCCAGCGCCTTCCCCACCCACTCGCCGCAAGAGCGAGTCCCTTGCGCCCCCCCCCTCCGGGGCCGGTCCCCGCCTCTCGGCTCAGCTAGACCCCCGCATCCACACGAGCTACCCCGACAGCCCCTTCTCCACTCCCTCCCGCGCTGCCAGTCTCCATCACCCCCCACACACACACGTGAGCCAGCCTCGTCCCGAGTCGGAACCCATCACCGCCCGCCCTTGCGCGGGCAGAGCCGGTCCCCTCCCCGACCCTGCTCCGGGTGTGAAGCCGGAGCCAGTCTCCTCTATGAGCCGAGTCTCTCCATTCCCATCAGTTCCCCAGACAAGCGTGAGTCCCCGCACAGCCGCCTAGGGGTCACTTCCCGCAACGCCAGACACCGCTCGCCGGGTGGCTCTTTCGGTGGGCGCTGCCTGCAGCCGTTACACGGCCCTGCAAGCGCGGCTCCCGCGAGCAGAGTACCTGTCTCCGTTCCGCGGCGCGAAAGGACCTCCGCCTCAGCCCAAGTCACCCCCCACCCCTCGACCGGAGAAGGAGCCGCTGAGAGGTCCAGCCTCCGATAAATCCTCCGGTCACCGCTGCCTCCGCGTCTCACCTTAGCGGCGATAGCTGTAGCTGCTCCTCTCAGTTAACCGTGCTTCCCTCTCTGCACTAACAGCGCTGGTACTCGTCGCCTCCCGCCCGCCTTATATACCCCCGGCGCCGCCTCCTTCCAGAACCATCGGGAACCTTCACTGACAGGCACGGGGGTGGCGACTCCAACCCTCATCACGGGGGGAGGGGCCGAGGGGGGAGCCGCTGGGGAACAAATGCGCATGCGCCAGAACGAAATTTCTCGGTTTGCGCACGCGTTTCGCTGTCAGCTAGTTGAGGAGACTGCGCATGCGCCATCCGGAGCCCGGTTCGCACGCGCGGTCCCTTTCCAACAGTCACCTCTGAAGGGGTGGGAAATGCGCTTGCGCGAGATCAACTGTCATCGGTTGGCTTGGGAAAGGGGGGGATTGCGCAAATCGCAAGATGACTTCATTCATTGCAAACCCGAACTCCCCCCCGATCCTATCCCCTCCCTCCGAACTTCCTCGAAGGAGGCGGGACCCGTTAGACTCTCCCTCTGCCAAGTTCCGCCTCTCCTGCTCTGCCTCCCTTCCCCACCCCGCTTCCCTCAGAAAGTCCTAGAAGCAGCCAGAAGCTCACCATTCCCACCCCTCCCCCTCGCATCAGCACGTCCAAGAGATGGGATGGGGGGGAGGTAGCATCGCCTCCGCCTGCCCTTCCCCTCAGGGTCGCTGCGCGTTTCTCTGCACGGCCCCGGGGCGCTCCCCTCCTTGCCACACTTCACTGCGCGGCTATAGGGCGCCCCTCCTCCTACCATGATGCATTGCTCTGGGGCACCCCCCAGGCCATGTTTCATGCACGGCCTTGGGGTGCTACCCCCCATGCCAGACTGCAGTGCACAGCCCTGGGGCACATTCTCCCCATTCCACACTTCAGTGCATTGGCCTGAGGCACCGCCTGCACATTATACTCACTGCATGCCCCTGGGGTGCCCCCCATGCTATACTGCATGGCTCTGCAGCGCCCCCTCCCCAGTTCACATTTCGTTGCATGGCCCTGGGCCACGCCACCCACCCATGCAACGCTGCATTGCGCAAACCTGTACATGTCCCTGCAGCCCGTGCCACTTCCCGCAGCTCCCATTGGCCGGGAACAGCGAACCGTGGACACTGGGAGATGAGGGCGAATGTGCAAATGTAAACAAACTCTGCAGCCTGCCAGTGGATTACCCTGACAGGCAGTGTGCGGCCTATGGGCCACAGTTTGTCCATCACTGGTATAAAGCCTAGTGGTAGCCTAAGGAAGTGTAGACCCAGTTAAGGATACCTGACTGAGCAAAGGCTTATGCTTTGATTGTGGCTTGACTGAGTAAAGTGCTGCGCCTGCTGCTAAGCAGCTGTGCTGTTTCCTACTTTCTCAAGTCTCATAACTGTCAATGGGAAGTGATATGGGACACAGGAGGATGTGTAGTTCAAAAGAATGATCCATAATACAGCAATGTTTGATAACCACTGTTCTCATTACAAAGGAGTATCTAAATTCCTTGAGTAAGTCAGAATAAATTTAATCTAATCATTTTTTAATAAAATGAAGTTGCTGTTCTGAACTATAGCTGGCAGCAGTTGTTGTACAAAACCGAATTATGTAGCTTTTTGTGTGTCAGTTTTTATGAGCCAGAAAGTCTAGTTGAACTATGATGACTACCTAATCTTTCTTTGAAAGAGGAATATAAATTAGGCAATGAAAATGGGATATTGTCAGAGTCACTGCTAGATAGAATGCTGTCAGATTTTTGCACATGGGTACACATGACATAGCAGCTGTCCTCGGGAGCCAAAAAATCTTATCGCGTTATAGGTGAAACCGCGTTATATCAAACTTGCTTTGATCCACCGGAGTGCGCAGCCCCGCCCCACGCCGGAGCACTGCTTTACCATGTTATATCAGAATTCGTGTTATATCAGGTGGCGTTATATTGAGGTAGTGGTGTACTAACTTTACAAGTGATAAGTAGAATTTATTAAAATCTCAGCTGCACAAGAGAAATCAGTATTCTGTCATGATCAGTGGAACTGGAGTCTGAAGACCCATGTTCCCTGGAGGAACGGTTATTCAGGGAAACAGGCAACGGGAGGAGTTGGGCTAGAGGCAATGCAGCCAGATGGACAGAGCAGTGCGCAGTCTTTATTAAAGTTCCAGTTATTAAACGTAACCTGTATCACTCTTGGCTTCACTCATTAGCAGCCTAGTGATAGAGCAATCGAAGTGCAGCAGCTGGTGACATGAGCCATGGAACTAATCAGAAACTCCCTAGAGCACTGGAGTTTGTAGACCCAAACCTAGCCCAGCAACAGACCCAATAGAAAGAGGCGTTCATGCTGTATCCAGACTTGCTCTCTTATTGGGGAACACGGTAGCGACGTCTGTAGCACTCTGAAGCTTACCCTTGCCTCAAGCATTACAGCAGCCCTAGGGAACTATTGCTCCCCAAAGCAGAACAAAACTACAGAGTAATGCAGGTGATTTTTTTTTCTTTTTTAATTAAAAAAACCCTATACACTAAGACCAATCTGAGGGGGCCAGGCTAGACACCTATGTTACTGTCTTATACACACTGGTTGCTACAGGCAATTTTGGAGACTTGATAGACTCCCTAATTTGGGGTCACCACCTGTGGGAGTGGCTGCTATGGGTAGGCGATTTCACATTAGACAGATGCTTAGACATGGGCATGCAACAGAAGCCTCAACAAAAAGGATGAAAGCCCTATGAGGCACAACAGCCCCGGAGGTATATACAGTGAGACAACAGCAAAGGAGAGCAAGGGGTCAGGGTTTTATACCTTTACTGTAGGAGACAGCATGAGTGAGTAAAGGAGAAGTGCCCTGCACTAGGACAGCATTGTAAGGAATGGGGCAAGGTGGAGCATTTTAGCAGTGTGTGTAAGAGCAGAAGAAGGTCTCAAAAAATTCAGTCAGATTTTTACAAGAAGGGGATGGCACATCAGACAGCTGTGATGACATCATGACTCTCTCCTTGAGTCTAGGAGCATATATCAGGTTTAGGCCATAGTGACAGGAAAACAACAAGGGAGAATACCACCTCTCTGAATGCAACAATAGTAATAAGGAAATGCTGTGTGCAATTTCAGCTGGATAGTGGAGGTTCCTGCATTGTGATTCCTCAGCATGAATTGGATTAGAGCATACCCATTACAAAGCAGCAGTCACACGCTAATAATTTACAATGAGAGCCTAATTCCAGGCCCTAGGAAAGTGTGAGCTCATAGTAACTAACCTGAAAAATAATGGAGGGTACCAACTGAGGTTTGTGGCAGTAGAAGTTAAGCAACACAGGCCCCCTCTCCTTGGGGAATACATTTAGTACAAGTCATGGATCTGATCATGGTGCAGCATCAGCATTGTATAGCTGAAGTGCAAGAAGCAAAATGAGAAGTCTCATGAACAATGGAGACAATTTTAAAAGTTGATTGGGATGTTTTCAAAGGCAATGGGTGCCTCTGATGAAAGCTGTGACTGGAAGTAGACCCTACAGTGGAACCTGTGTGCTTACCACGAAAGAAAATTCCAGTGGCACTATGTAATCCAGTATGCAAAGGAGCTTGAAAGTCTATAGAGCAGGGGTATTGTAGCTAATGTAGCACTCATAGAGGCCAATGCAGCAAGAGAAAGTAGTGTGGTGGTAGAGAAGCCATCGGGCAAGTTCCACAGCTACATAGAGCTAACATCATTCAACAGGACATTGAAAAGATGCCAGTATCCAATGCCCACGAGACAGGATGTGGAGTGGGACTGGGCAGGTC